AGGTGAAGGTGAGTAGCCTTGTCTGACATCAGTCTTCACTTTCAATATATTTGGGAGCAAGCCCCGATGCACGACTTCGCAGTGTAGTCTGTCTCATGAATTCCGTGTGATATTGACGATCTTCGCAGGTACATTATAATGTCGAAGATGGTTCCATAAGTTTCGCCTATCCACTCTGTTAAATACTTGATCGCAGTCGAGGAAGTTGATGTATAGTGATGAGTTCCATTCAATTGATTGCTCAACGATGATCCATAGTGTCACAACTTGGTCTGTGAACGACCGATCCTTACGGAATCCACCCCGTTGATGGATTTATTCCCATGTCACCCAGCTTCACAGTCAGACACGTTACCACTAAGCGACTGACATCCTGTAGGACTAAGATGTATTTACAATCGGCCGACCGCTATGTAGTGATCAGTGTCATGTGTGTCAGTTCTTTCTCAAGGAGTATCGATTCCCTTAAGATTACAGGTACACCATGCTGACGAGTCCCAAGTAGCACGAAACCTAGGTCCAGGGTTTCTTGTTGACTACCTTCGACCACCATCTTATCTCGACGTAGTGCACGAAATGTCGAGTCACCTAGACCAGTGGCCATACTGTATTTTGGTCGATAGGATTCGATGTGCACTAAGAAGGACCAGACACACACGACATTGATCACCACTCAGTGATAAATCAACTGTAAATAAATCCCCTATTTAGTAAAAGAGATAAATTTAGTTCTTTGTTTGCCTTTGTCTTCCTAGTTTTAGTTAGTTTGAACTACTGACCAAAGCTTACTGGATATTCAAATTAATTTTAAAGTAATATATTTTAGAATTGTGGCTATTAATAAGTATTTACGAAAGTTTTAAGTAGTCCCCAACTAAAAAAGTGTGGTGTGAAGGGCAAATGATGTCGGATGTACGGCTGAATATTTCGATTATGTAGTTTATCAAATGTTCACGCCGCTAATACCTACACAACTTTCTTTAATTTTCGTCGATGAAACAATGTAAATAATGTGTAATTGTTGTTTAAGGAGCTCATCGATATCCCAAGACGTTATCTTCACAAATTAGCATTACATCTACTTGCTTTTGGGTGCCCCAAACCTTTCACCTTGATGATTCTAAAAAACTAGTTCCATTTTAATATACTGTCAATCTTTTCGGCTTACAGCCAATTTGCGTAAATAGATTAACCAAGGAGGTTTGGTTGAGGAAGTCTACGGTAGTTTTAATACTTATGAATTTTGAAGTTGTTCTTAAGATTTTGCTGGTGAGACAACATTTTTCGATGACAAATATTTGTTATTTACAGATATTTCTTGTAAGGAGAATAAATTGCTTATTGCCAAGCTATGCGATTACATTAAAATCTACTAAGTAAGCATGTAGAATCCTATTATTGTGTGTCTGAATTAACCAATATTACACTACTTATCCACAACCATGACTTTCTGCGTAATATGTTTCAAATGAATCTTTTATAAATGAAAGAGGCCGGAGCTGATGAAGGTACTGAAGATTATGAGGAGACGCTGGTAGTTAAAAGTCAGATCTTAGAAATAAATATCAAATAACCATCATTCTCATGGGTGACTTTAATTGCAGCATACATTTGAAGAATGAAATCTTTTTAAATGGTCGGTGATCTTCTAAATAAGACCAAGAGGTCAAATATCGGTACAAAAAGGTTTCGCACAAGATTGAGTCCATCGTGTGTGGTAAGTTTAAAGTGGCCCTTACTAAGTTGTTCATTCATTGTTGGTTCAGTAAATCAATAATATCGTGTTTTAGGAAGTATCTCGGGGATATCAGTAAAACAGAATACTTTGAAGTGATGAACACAGAAAAATCATTAATAGTGAGGCATTACATTGATCGAGCGTTTTCACTAATTAACTGGAACTTCCTAGATTTGAGGCAGTTGAAATATATTCACATTACCAGCAAATAATTAGCATACATCTAAATGCTATTTTATTAGAAAAAATATCTTGAATGACCAAAATATTTGTTAAAATATAGAGTTCCAAACACGTAAAAAAGAACCGTTGTGTAGACCAGTGAATTCTGTAATGAGTTTAGCATTGTATCAAAGAAAATACATATGAATGTAACAGATAAATAGAGCATAAACAATATTCGTTAATGATATGTTACCGATTTCATTTTCAGGTGATAATCCTCATGAAACGAAACTACACATTTTTATCTAATTAAAAATCTCAAAATGATCAGATGATTTAAATGAAAAATACGTTTTGCCAGAAAATTATTTGAAATAATTTTTTTTAAATTTCAATCTCATATCTATTCTCATGGAGCTAGCAATAAATTAATAAGGTACTTTAAGAATAGATGGGGAAATACTTGGTTAGTTTTCTTGCATACAATATGTCTTCACTGTTAGATGTATATTTTAAGGCAAATAGCTAAGAAAACTCCTAGGATAAACAGTTAGTTCAGTATGAACAAATCATCTAATTTACACAAAAAGTATGTGTTATAACCCGACGAGAACTATAAGTGGTAGATTTTGAGAACTATTTATGGAACAATACGATGCATATATTTTTATTGTATAGTTGTTATGTAACTAAACTATGCATATTCAATTTCCTCCTATTATAAGCTTTGTCTTGACCCATAGACTATTATTATGCGATTTACTGTTCTTGAATTATGCTCAGTCTATTAATTACAATCTCCCACATTCACAGCCACTTTTGGCTAGATCTTGTACAAATATTGTTTTCTATTTTGTGGTGAGATGTGGTCTGTTTGGTTTGTATATAAACACAGTATGTTTGAAATACATGACTCATATTTTAGAGGCTGAGATTGGTGTTTTGGACTCAACAGGCATTGCTAGGCAGGGAGACGGTCTGATAAGGATTCTAGACCACTCGTATGGGTTTACGCGTCATTTGTCTGGTCGATAAGTCGCTGTCCTCTAATTGGTGGTATCATTACGTTATATATTAATAGAACACAAGTTATAACTTTATTAGTGCACTCTCCAGAATATTTCGAAAATAAGACGAATTTTTACCACCCCGTGAAGATTTAATTATTTTACTTATTTTTAATAGATTATATATGGCATACTTAATGGAAGAAATGAACTATCTGAACAAATCAGCTACACAAGAAAGAATAGCGTTATTATTTGGTTCAGTCAATACTGAATTACAAGCTGCAAAAACTACTTTTCTTAACCACAGAGAAACCTGCTGATATGTTCAGTTCTCAGCAATGTCGACGTAGTATGTAAGGAATTCTCAAGCAACCTAACAAATTATTCAACGGTTTAAAATTGAATTCAATGATTATTATTATTATTTTTGACGAAAATGATGATTACGAATGCGAGTCTCAATCAAACTTGGATCCCTGTTAGGAAGTATGATTAAACAGATATATGTATTACACAATATTTGTTGAATTCAACCTCAAAATTTCCAACACTAGTTCAAATATTTTATACTACCGTACTTTAGTACGTTTTACTCAGTGTTCACAGCCGATGGAAAAAAATCGGAAGCGATGTCTGAGCTTCAAAACTAATAAACTACTATTTGAGATGTTATGGCTGTTAAACAGGGAAGATACAAGAAAGTTAAGGAACTCTCTCGTAGATATTGTAACTACACATTTGCTATATTGAGTACTATTTTTTGAAGTTTGAAAAGTGATTGCTACAACAACTGATTCCTGTACGATTATGTTAAGTCTAGATATACCTAAATAGTAATAAAATTTCAATATTAATATTGATAGAGTACATGACAGAAACTAACAGAAGATCAATGTTACCCGATCCTATGTAAGATCATAACATGATGCTAATGCCAACAGATGGATACTAGGAAAACATAAGTTACATTGCAATTCATAAACCAATGGAAAGGCTGCAAAATTTTGAGACATGCTACGCATTTAGCACCAACCTGCATCACCCTACTAAAATAGTCTTATGGTGAGACTATGGTTCATATCACCTACAAACAGAACTTTCTCATCATAACTGGAAAACAATCTTTATTTTTCATCAAAACTCCATAACCGCATGTAAACGATTACATCATATTCCTTATGTGTGTGCAGCTAAGCATACATAAAGGAGCAATCGTAATGTGCAAGTTAGTGAAATCTGGTTACAAAAACAAATAAATTCAAATAATCCGATAAAGCAGGATGATGCGAAACCACTCTTTTCTGCTACTAAATATACGGTTGAAACAAGTAATAGAACCGATCGAAGCTCAGCCTTCATAGTATTGTATAAAAATTGTGTGAGAATACTTTGATCTGTTGAAGTCGTAGGCATATAAAAATTCGATCTACCTTAGTGTATCGAAGATCACTTTGTTTGCTAAACCTATCCTGATTTCAATTTAACATCTAGAATAGTGTGGTCAATGCTTTTTCCTTATAGCCCTTATCGTTCTTATGTTAGGATTTATCTAGTTTGATCGATTTATTTCTTATTTATATGTTCCACTAATTAATATCCAATTAGATTATTCTAAATATATTGTTCTACTACATCCCATAGTTATGATAAACTTCGTTTTCTGACTGAATTGCCTAACGCAGTGAGTGAGCATCCTGCTGACCAATCACATTTTTGTAGCTTGGATACGGTAAGTTTACCATTCATATGTCCATGATAAGGTAGCATCAAAAATTTAACAAATCACAGACTCCTAATACGACTATAGGAGTGCCTTATACACACACCCAGTGTAAACTGTGAGTCATTTTGACGGCTTGAGGAACTACTGAGAAACTGCTCCTTAGAAGCTAAAAGCTGGGTGGTTCTTTTAATTTTCATCTGTTAACTTATAATAGAAAAAACTGCGTCACAGTTATTCAGGAGATCAAGGTTTGTTTTCTTATCCTCAAAGTTGAAACATCGACTAATGAAAAACAGTTTTTGGATGCTAAAAACATTTATATCGGTTTACAAAAGGTAGAAAAATGTAACACAATCATATTTAATTATTTAATTGAATCCGCAACTGATTTGTTAATGCTCATATCTTTCTTCATCCGACGACGACATCGAGTACGTTCCCAACGTTTGGTAATCGCCTGTAGTTTCGACAGTTCATTTATACGATTCAAGTATTCTATTGGTGCGCCTACCATCGGATCCATATAACCTTTCACATTGGTACCTGAAAAATACAGTGAATAGATGTTTTTGTTGAAGTAAGCAATAAATATTAATATTTCCATAATTATTTGACAATGAAGTACTTTCATATTGTGTATGTTTACTATGAAATGGAAAAAACTATTTATGTGTATAATGGTATTTACTTAACAAATATACATCATTATTGGTTTGACATCACAAATGTGTAAAACTGCAGCTCAACCGGAAAAATCATGTAATTTGTAAGATTCAATGTATGTCACCTGCTCAAAACAACGTGCACTTTTACTCGTGCTGTATTTTTTTATTGAGAAAATTGTTTGAAGAATGATAGACGTTTATGAATTACCTGTCAATCTGAGAAAAAGTATGATGATACAAGAGACTGAATAGGATGCCTACAAGATTATCAACATTCATGAAATTGTGTTAACAATGAACGGTAATAAAACAAGGTGTAATCTCTAAATAGTTTTATTTTAAATTCTATTGTTACACCATATTATTGTATGAATGTAATGACTGATGTAGGTTTTATTTATGACCAAGTTCTTGTTGTTGTCTTCAAAGTCATTCTTCACTTTCTGGTCATTTTTTCTCAACATCAAGATAAATTATCGAAGATAAAACCATGTCTACTTCGATGAAACTATTAGCATTATAAACGAACAATATTCTTTTCAGTACATGTTCTACAGTTTTAAATCTGTATTAATGTCCCATAGTGATAGGCAAGTTCTAGGCAAATACATCTTAGAAAAGTTAAAGCATTTAAACGTTATCCACTGAACCAGACTAATTTATTTAATTCTGATATACTGATCATAGAAATGAATATTACTCGCAGAAAATTCGCTGTTGAGAGGCTTACAGATGGCTTTAAGAATCCGTTCATAGACCGCATTACAAAAGTGACTAGATAAAAAGCAGATAAAAAGCTTATCCAGTCATTCAAAAGCGTGGAAAATCAAGCAGTTGGAAACAAATTCGCAACGGAACCTAAAAGGTATACTCGTAGTTTTTCGACTACTGAACTAAATAAATAAGGAAAAAATTGAAGTATTAACTTTAAGTATGAAATTTGTGGTATTCCTAACCATTTACAACATTTAGATCCAGATATTCAGTTTGAGAACCTGTTCGGTCAAATATTAGATCTTGTTCCGACTTTTGATGAAGAATATGAACGGCTAAGATCAAATCTAGTTGGCCGTTGCTGTTAATTTAACAACAAAGCAAGGGTCGCATTCCTACAATTGAAGAACATATGGAACTCAAAACAACTTTCAACCAATATCAAAGTGAGAATCTTCAATACGAACGTCAAGGCAGTTCTACTGTATGGAGCTGAAACTTGGAGAACTACAACAACCACAATCAAGAAAGTACAAGTATTTATAAATAGCTGTCTACGCAAGATACTCAACATCCATTGGCCGGATATCATCAGCAATAGCCTTCTGTGGGAGAGAACAAACCAACTTCCAGCTGAAGAAGAAATTAGGAAAAGACGATGGAAATGGATAGGACATACATTGCGCAAATCGTCAAACTGCATCACGAGACAAGCCCTAACTTGGAATCCTGAAGGGAAGCGAAAAAGAGGAAGGCCAAAGAACACATTGCGTCGGATAATAGAAGCAGATATGAAAACGATGAATTACAACTGGACGGAGCTAGAAAGGATTGGCCAGGACAGGGTTGGATGGAGAATACTGGTGAGCGGCCTATGCTCCTTCACGAGGAGTAACAGGCGTAAGTAAGTAAGTATAATTACCGAAGCATTTTAACCAAAAAAAAATTAAGGAACCTATCAATGGACTTATTAAAAAAGAAAAATTAATTATTACGAAACCATATAAAAGTAAGTTTTTTTTATAAAAGCCAAAATGTTTTTAAACTCATAGGGTATCTCGTACCTACTGTTTTACGTTGTTATACGACAAACCATATGATGATGTTGCGTTAATTATTCTTAATAGGCTGACTTACAAACTACATGTCGGGTTATAAGTTTAATTAGACTGTCAGATATCGTCTACATGGCACGCTTTTATAACCCAGGACTGATCTTTAGATCACTACTAGATGAATATAAAATGCAATCTGTCAGTAATTCAAAAGAAAATTGTTTCAACCTTCCTGGACACATTTATTCATCTTAATTTTTGTGGTCAGTCATTAAAGGAATATGGTTTAACAGTCTAAAAGTTTAAAACATATTATTGAGACTAAAAAATTACAGTAGATGATGGATTTCAGTAGAATGAAGATTCCATAGGATTGTATGGCAAATATATTCATTTACAAAAGGTTTTTCTGAAGAACAAATACAAGGGTTTGGAGATGGCAGAAGGAAAAGATTAGGTAAGTAAATCTCTCATGAAGTCTCTTCTAAAATAACAGTGTTTGTTGGTGATTTATATCAAAATGAAAAATTTATTTCTCTCATAAAGAGTTATTTTCAATAATAATACTGATAATAACAATAATAATTATTATTGTAATTATAATTATAATCGTATTACCACTCAAGTATGAATGTATATCCTAGCTGTTTTTTTATTGTTTCCCAGTTAGTTTAGTAAAGTGTATACCAGTTCTCACATAGTATCATAAACATTCTACGATAAAAAGGATTAATCTGATTTCAATTCATAGAACTACAGTTCAAAAAAATTTATCATTTCACTGTTTTTTAAACATCATAAAGTGATTACTGTTTTTCAAATGTAAAACTACTTTTTTTCTTGCTCTTTCGACCTTAACTGGTTATTTTAACGCGTTATGGGTTATTACCAGGATAACTAATCATAAACTATCTTTTCGTGAATAAACGTGAAGCAAGTGTCCCATACACATATATATGGCACGTTTTTTAATAACGATTACACGTATACATTAATTAAATCTTTTTGAACTCATGACAAAAATCGTGACATTAAAGTAAGGGAAGTAATCATAATCAACTAACACATGTTGATGCTCAAAGAAATTGTCACATGAATCTAATTCTTTGGAAAATAATGATCACTTTTGATGTTCGATTACTTAAATGTACGCAAATCTGTGGTAATGCGAATAGATTACAATTAAGTGAACGCTTGATCAGGTTGGTTAGATCTTTTAATCCAGTTGATTAAACATAAGGGGAATGAGTTAAATTTCTTGGTCAAGTCATTTGTTGAGACTCAAGATTTCTTGAGACCTATCAATTCATCACAGTATCTATATACCGTAATACCATTAGAAAATATGGGTATTATTGGTGCCGATAAAATTAAAATCTAAGAACGAGGCAATAAGAATTGAGATATCGACTTTTGGGGTTCTTTTGAGAAAACTTCAAAGCGTACGTAAAATAAGCTTTAACCTTTGTATAGTACCGAGAACACGTAAATGGAAAACAAGAAATTATTTTCTGTTGAAATACAATAAAAATGATAGCTTTGGACGCATCAGGTCCTCAATTATTTCTTCGTAGATTTTATAAAACATGAAAATCAACACTGTACTTAAATCAGAACTCTTAATCATGAAACAAACATTTACCTGCTGGAACCAAACCTTCTAGATCAACGAATCAGATTTAAGAGAAAGCTTTGTGGATTTTTACACGAAATTCACTCGTCTATAAGGCTACAGAGCACTTTGAATTATAGCCTATGTCAGGCGATGATGAAAACCATGACCTCAAACCCTTGATCCTAACCCTAACAAAGAACAATGTAGGAATTCTGAGAATAAAAATAATCACAGAATAAATTCCCAGTGATGTCTAATATATATTTTGGAGACTAGGAAATGCAAGCAATGATCAGGTAGATGTATGTTGAATGTAATATAGCAGGTCCAATAATACATAATACCTAGATCCGTTAACTAGATATATTGATTCTGAGTGATTTTAAACTGACAAGGAATATCAGTGAAAATTACAATTCTCAACATTTTAAAAACCAATCATGGAGCTTAATTGGTTTGTAAGTATTATTACTAAGGTTTGACTTGACAATTTCAAACAAATTGAGGATCTAGTAGATAGTTAAAATAAAAATTACGATAAACTTGTAGTATCACAATGAATAAAAAACTTAATCTCTGACGCTCTGCGTCATAATGAAAGCAATCCCGTTGAATAAATAAAAGTTTAAATAAGAAATAAGAAACAAAGCAGAGTATCTCTAGTTTAATCAAAATGAGTTTGATCATTTTAATGCTATGTGATAAACAGTCCAGGTTGTATGAACAGTTAGACCTTTCCATCTAGACAGCACTAGGAATTAGTGATTTATAAAAAGCTGCAGCCACTCACCTTTCTTTATAGTTGAGAAAACATTTTCAAATTACTTTCATATTACTAATATTGATTTGATGGTTTTTGAGATTAGCATGTACTACAATGAAGATTTGACTTAAAGGTCCTCGAGTGCCGCAGTATCATTGGGAAGTCCTTTTGTGTGGCTTAGATGTTCCTTGGTTATAGCCACAACTTTAAAACATTGGTCTCCAACATAAAAAGCATCTGATTCGACACGTCCTGATATGTAGACACCATTGAATTGATGTGTAAAGGATTTTTTCTTTACTCGAACTAAAGCATTTCGAAGTGTTAGTTATTTTATAAAAACCTATAATTCGGTGTGATTTAATAATTTGTTGTAGTTATTCTGTTGTATCATGGGAGTGTTTTAAAAATACAGTACCAGCTCATGATATTTCATTTGAGTTTTAATTATTCAACAATAGATTATTTCGCCTTAGTAAATTTGAAATTATCTTCTTGGGAAAATTATCAAAATTCAAGTGTTGATGATATTCTTCTGTTCCACTTGTTTTACTCCTGGTGTAATAATTTCGGTGGCTTGTGTGCATGAATTTAGAGCCAGGGGAATTTTCGCATCAAATGGATGTGAAAAGTTGTGAACGATGAACCGAAGGGAATAAGTAGTTTTTCGGTAGATGATTAGATTTCTGTTAGAATTCCTTTTGACTAAGCAGTCTAAAAATGATAATTTACTTAGTACATGTTCCTTCTCGAAGGTGAATTTGATGTGATCTGAGGAAGTAGTAATTAAGTTTAAGAAAGTTTCAGACAGTACCTTAAGTGATGATAAATTTATCGTCTACATTTTAGAGGCAGATGAGTGGTCTGCAGACAATGCCAAAGATAAATGATAAATTAGGCTTGTAAACCAATAGATGTTAGCCCAGTGGTTTAAAAACTAAGCTCTTGCTGCGAGAGCTGGCGGTTCCGGGTTCTTACTTAGTAAAAGTATTCTGCTTTGTTTCCTATTTACTATTTAAACTTGGCTACTTATTCTCTAAAAAAGCAACTGACACTAAGACTCGAACATCAAAAATTGAATTTTTTACTCATTCAGATATTATAAATGTATCGTCGTTTTTGTTATTAATGAACCGGTTGTTGGTAGTACTGGGAGTAGAATACGTACCTCGCCTTCTTTGTTGTGTGAATAATGAAAGACAAACAATACACAATGTCTCAAAATTCTTACAGTACTTTAGTTTGGAATCTGCTAGAAACAAGTTTAAAATCTACAAACCGGATTAAATATAGTCACTTTGTATGCCTAATTTATAATTAAAATTATACATGGTTGCTTAATTTAATCTCACCACCTCAATTCACCTAAATTAAATTAGGTGAATAAATTTGTTGTTTTACCAAATAAGCCTAAACTACGTTACAAAAATTTGTAATTGCATTCTATCTGATACATTCTCCTGCAGTTTAGATGACGCATACATCTGATGGATTTTGGTTATTATTGATTGAATCATCTTGTGCCAATCATGAGGAAAATGTGATAACGTCATATGAATTAATATGTAGCCTTTAGAAATATCTAATTCACATGTATATGTAATCATATTGTGTGCTAAGCCCTTATTTGTGAAACATTAGACCTTAGTAGAATTAACAAATATTCTTATATCAAGTAGCCATAAATGAGTAGAGAATATCTCAGATACTTTTAAGTGTGTCAAGTAGTTGTTGAGGCGTCATATTTCTATAGTGCTCAAGATGAGAGCACGTTGACTAATGTATTGGTTTGTTTGTACAACATCATATGATTGCATTCAGAAGATAATTATGGGGATCTTGAAATAGCTTAGTATTGCTACGCATAAGGATAGCTGGAAAAGTAATAAATAAATTAGGCTTATAAATAGATTTAAGTTTCGTACACTTTTTAATCGATTGATCATTTCAATTTATTCTGACAATATCTGAGATGTTTGTTCAGTATTCCAGGAATCATATGGTAGATAAATCCACGGAATATTCATTTAAGTAGGCATATAATTATTTTTATTGAAAATTTGTATTTTCATAAGTTATTGAATATTGTTAATAGTTGAATTCATGAGTCAACTGAAGCTAAACCATCATGGAAAACCTGAAAGCACTGGACGGCCGTTTCGTCAAAAAAGCCAGCAACACCATATGATCATGTATGATAAGTCAATTAATTGAGATTTTCAGTGATATAATTCAAAGTAGATGTCAACAATACATAAGTATATATTTGGAAATTCATTTCCTTCTCTTAACTCGTTTCTTCTGTACATTTTCCTTGTTTTTACTGCATTCATTAATATTTTAGGTCAGTACCAAAGGGCTATGAAAAAGAGCATTCATATTCTTTAAGAAGTCGGAAAACATATTTATCTTTGTTGAAAAATTCCTTATACTGGAAAAATAGGTTAATAGTATGGTATTTGCATTCTATATTTCATTGGTCATTAATCCATTTACTCCATTCACATAATACAAATCAAGAACATCTGGACAGAAATCACACTATAGATTCATCGTAATAAAAGATATATTAGGAATGTAAACAGTAAACTAATCATTACTCGAAACTAAAACAGCAGCTGGAAAATTTGCTGAAACTTTACATAGAACGTATACGATTTATAGTGTTCAAGTAAATTTATAACATTTTCCATACCTATGATAATTTCGATTGTGCCTGGGATTTAAACATGTTTGTATTTAGTATGCTTTCTAATGTCAAAGAGAAATTCCACATTAATTTGTGGATCTTCTTAGTTATGAGAATTATGTTTGATTACAGAAAATAAGCACATTCTAGACGTTATTCTTTAAGTAGGTTTCAATTAACGGTTTAATAAATCACGAGTTGAAATGAATATTTTCTATGTTTGACGGAGTTGAAACAATTTTTTTTTCGGTTACACATTTACAAATCTAAAGATTATTCCCGTCTAAATCACTTCTTTACAAATATATTCACGTATTTTTAACTTAATTCATTTGCAGTTCTCTGTATGACAGTTTCAATTGGTGTTCAGGTCAACAATCAAACAAATTACTTGCTAGTAGTATCAATTATTTTCGACAATATTTCAGGTTAGTTAACTACATTTGTATTACATTATTTCAATAGTTCAAGCGAACATAATTATGACTTCCTAACACGTTAATTTTTTTATCTTATCAAAATCATAGCACATTTATTTTCGAAAACATACTTTTCTTCAAATCTAATGTTTTAAACTGTAAATTATCTAGTAGTGTTATTTGTTATGATACTTTCCAGTAAATATGAAAATAAAGAATAATATAGGTAACTTTAGCATCCGTGTTATACCGAGCAAGCATTAACCGGGAAGGCAAGATGTATCCAATGTTGATAGCATATTATTACTTCTTGTTTATTGTATTAAAAATAATGTTCAATCAACACAAAATAGTGTTTGATGTTTTATACATATCAAACAAATAAGCTTTAGGCAACTAACAGTTTCTCGCAGTTTGATAAAAATCCACAATCTCGAGTTAAATGTAGATTTGAATCAGAATATGCTCGATCTTGAACATAATGAAACCAATTTATTTTATCATGGAAATTTAGTTTGTCTTGAAGTTACTGGCAAGTAACTTAATGTCTGATATTTGTGCACTAGTTGAAATAAAATTACATTAAAATGTCTGATCCATCAGAGAAATTATAGTTGTCCTGATCATGTTTCTGTCTTCCCTTATCATCGTTTCATGAAACTTTAAAGATTGCATTACAGAGGCTTCTAAAACATTTTTTAAACTTTCGAACTGCTTGAATTCTTCAAACAAAACAATTTCCAAAGAATGCTCTTTTATCAAAGAAGATTTCAGTTTTAGAACTGTCGAAAATCAGGAAAAAATAGCTGAACAGTTTTAGGTTTTCAGTATCTCTCTAACTAAAGTCATTTCGTGATTTAAAGTTACGAAATTCAACAACATCCACAACTTCCCATACTAACAATTTACGAAGAGATTATTATTCTTCAGATTTAATCAAAGATATTCTGTATCAATCTATGAAGTAAGAGCAATGTACATAAACATGGGCTATCTTTGTTTTATTTTTTCCGATCATCCAAAAAACTTTGCTAATCTTGTGAATATTGATTAATTTATCGGTTAACTTAGTTTCACGTTGTTTCAGAAACATGAATGAGATACAACCTAACATAGATAAAGCTAATTTTGACCTCTTACGACATAAACAAAAAATGTATTAGTAGAACTGCAAACTTTGATTGGTGACATAGCGTAGTTGTCGAACCAAGAATTTGGGTTGATCATGAAAATAAGCTAGTTGGTTTTATATATAGTAAGATATTATGGACTCATTAAAACGGTGAACGAATATCGAGTTTGACGTAAACTATGGTTTCATTCAGCTATCTCTACTCATATGCCAAAGTAAGATACACTAATGGTTTAAACTTCTCTTTATAGTCTAACTTACCAGAATCAATTGATATTGTGCAGTTTTCTTCTTTTCTGATAAGAGACAGTTGTGCCAAAGTTTTTTCTTTGATATCTGGAGGTCTATTAACAGGATAAGAATTCCCCATTATGGTTAATTTATTTGAATTATCAGGGTGCATAAGGTGTACATCTCCATTTTTATGAAGATTATTAGAAAGTCTGGAATTATTTGTGTTACTATTATTATTGTTATTAATAACGGTAGTAACATTGTGACCAGCAAAATGAGTGTTCGACGCCCAATAACTGTTGGATGTCATATTCATCTGTGGTGAGAGCTTTTGGATTGTCTTCAATGTCAAATTACTACCCAGTTCTAGGAAATTTATATCAGGAAAGCTAATTTTATTTGGTTTTATACTGCTCGAAGCCTTGCTCAATCTACACTGAAGATGTTCGCAACCTTGTTCAGTATACCGTCTAGGTAACCATACAGTTAACTTTTGCTCTGGAAGGCCACTACGCCATAAATTTGACCATGAGTTTTCAACTGAACATCCGTTTGAACGAACTGAAGATGTAGTGGGATCAATAAATTCATAGTTATTATCTGTTGAACTTTCGGAAAAAGGCAAAATAATGCGACGTGAATAATCAAATGATTTTGACAAGTTTTGCTGCTTAATATTGACTGTAAAAATGTTGTCAGTTAACGGCGAACTGCCAATATTTTTCTTTAGAGATGACTTCAAATATGACTGGTCTGTGAAAAATTAAAATTAAAAATCGAAATATACCAAATTTTATTCTCCAGCTTAACCATAAAATACTGATGAACACTGATAACTAAAGGATCTAGTTAGAGAGGTCTATATGTACTGGCTGAAAATTTTCAGTGCCTAAATAAGTGAATCATGACATCAAGTTACCTAGCGTGATAGATCTTTTGACAAACAAATTATTGTATTGTTCGTAAGTCGGAGTAGATCAATGTACTTTTACAGTACATGATGTACAAAATAACAATCATTAGTACATAATATAGACAAATTACATAAATGAATTACCCTGCAATTATTACTATGAACACCACTGATTTATTCACTGTTGTATATTCTAAGATCAACTTAGTTCAAGGCTAAATGAGTTTCGTAGAAAAAGATTCAAATCAGCAGATTATATGGAAATTATGGTCAAAGGTGGGAAATCTGAACTACTGGCATTCAGTAAGACCAAATGCTAAATAATTTTCAGCAAACAAGAAATCGTCCTGTAAGCAATTTCATTCAGTGTTTTGGATGCGATGTCACATCTAACATTCTAATCGAGATGTACACCGATATCTTATTTAATTCACCTATCTGTAAGCATTTTTACCGAATACTTGTACGGGAATCTTATTCCAAAAGTGTAAGGAAATTTGAATGGTTATAATACTATAGTATTTGTGTGTTGGTAAAAATATAAAACACAGACCCAGATTAGTAATGCCTCCTTTTCTTAAAATGACGAACGAACTTTCAGTACTACTCAAACTGCGGTCATCAATAAAGGACAGTAACTATTCATAGCAATTTGCATACAAAGGTATAAGAATTAGTCAAGATCTCAGTGTCGTTTGACGTCACGGTACAACACTCAGTTGAGGAATCGGAGGTACATTCCACAACTGGAATTCCAGGACCCAGGTTCCGTGCTCTTTAACACTAGTCAGAATAAAGTCTCTGCAATCCTGTAGAAATCGCTGTTGCCAATCAAATTCCGACCGTGTCATAACCTAGACCTTTATCACTAAATGATTTTAGCCCGATTGATTTCATGTGTGACTGATGCATTTACACTGATGGACCATTGACGAGTGTTAACCAACTAAAAATCTAGATCCAGGGATCCTAGCGAATTGTCGCCAATCAACTAACATTAAAGAGGACATATATTCGTTGCATTCTTCCAGATTAGAAGTCTGCTTTCAGTTTTGTTTCAAAGACTTTCTTATTAAATAATTTTGTTCCACTTTACTATTTCTTGGATTCTACTATTGCTTCAACTGTTATGATATCAATAGGATTATTGGTGAACTTGGTTTCGATTAAACAGAAGACGTTGTGTAAGTAGCTAAAAGACCTGGAGTTGCCTTTCACAGTTAGTAAAGCGGTGACATGAAAAAAGGATTTTTTATACACAGAGCGGGAAATGACATAGTATTTATTATTTTTATGTGAATAACGAGGCTTCCCAGATAGACTAGTAATTACTCTCTCTCTTGAAGCTCAAGGACTTTGATAAGGAAACTCATTTATATAACTCAACAGGAGCGTAAGTTGGGAGTCTTCATACGTCTGTAAATAGTTTTTTTTAAAGGACTTCCATATCTATTTCAACAACTCTCCTTACACTACCGAGAGATAATTTATCGACTGAATGAAAAATTTGAAGGTAGACAAGAAATTCATGATATCGGTTGATGTAGTACCTTTATCTATAAACACTCTTCCTATTGAAAGGGTTGATTCATACATTAAGAGTTAAAAGAATCTATGCTCAGATGTACGACGAATATACGTTTTCTGTTCAGCAAAGAATTCTATAGATAACATGATGATATTGCTTTGGTGCAATCACTAAGTTTATTCCCAGCTGATTTCGTTTTGGCTAAAATATAAAACAGCCCTTTGAGAAATGTGATAACGAACTAGGATTTTATTGCCACTATAATATAATAATCCAGATTTTATCGTCCTCTTCTCATTAATTACTCATTATTATATAATTAATTATATAAATAGTTCCTTTTAGACACAACTTACTGGGATATGTTCCGAAAACTTTGTGAAGTAAAGTTTTCACAGGTGTGACTACCGAACGTTTAATGGATACAACGTGAATATCTCAAAAGCATTCATAATAATTAACAGACAACGCACACTACTTTTACTCCGTTATGCAGAGGCCATTGCCATGATAGTTATATTAATTTAATGCTTGTCAGTTACATTTTCCCTACCTGATGGTTTATAACTCAAAGTAAGAAATCCCACTGACATTCACTCAAGACGTTAAATAGTTTCGACAACATTCACACAGCTATTAAATTCACCGGCAAAGAGGAGAACGATAATAGTATAGTTTTCCTTGATGTCTTACTTTCTATAAGGACAGACGGTCCCATAAAAAGAAATATATTTAGAAAGAATACTTGAACGGGTTAGAACAATCATCTTTATAGCTTTACACCTCTTTATTACAAAATAAACTTGGTTGAATGTCTCAGCTATAGAATCTAACTATTATGTTCTAAGCATAGTGTAGATAGCGAAGTGGATAAACTAAAGAACATATTACGAGATAATGGCTATCCAGATAATTTTATCAGAAAATTTCTATCAGAAGGTAAAAAGGGAACAAGACACGGTCAGCAAGAAAAACCTATATCTAAAACTCGATTTTAAAGGGGACATGGCGGGTGGCATTTTGGTAAGTCCATTCAAAAGACATTTTGAAAACACATCTCACTCAGCTAAGTTACATGCAATCTCAAACAAACCAGTACTTACAATAAATCAAGTCTAGGCTACCGATGATGGGCTCCTCTATGTGTGTATAATACCGGGTAAATAATAGTGAGGTTAGACGCAGGGTATTAGGGAATGAGGGTAAATCAGTTTATGAGGTTGTGAATCTTCATCGACTGAGATGGCTGGGCCACGTGTTACGTATGCCTGAACGCCAATTACCACGACGCGGAATGCTGACTAGTGTTGGGAATGGTTGGAAGAAAGTTAGGGGTGGCCAAACCAAAACGTGGCATCAGTCATTGAAGTCACTAATTTCTAGTCTGAGCCATGTTGGTAGATGCAGACAACTTGGTTGGGGTCCACGTGACTATCGTAACAAATGGATGGAGACTCTGGGTGACATGGCTCAGAATCGATCGCAATGGCGTAAGTGTATACACCTTCTGTCTTCCCTTAAACAGTGAGATTAAAATTGCCTTATACCTTTATTTCTACGAACTAACTCTTTCTTCCTATATTGTATCTTTATACACAATCTTTTATATATTACTACCATTGAAGTGACTACTTTTATGAATCCGGTGTTCATCTTGTTGTGTTAATGAGGTATGACAACTTGAACCGATGCATATATGTGCATGGTCCTACGTCGCAGCTGACTGACTGAGGCTTGTTACAACAGCCGTATTCAGAGGGCTTGATCCTTGAGAGCTTGTGAACATGTAATAAATATATTTTTTGTTATACCCCAAGGAGTAGAAAACAACCGAATTAATTCGGTTATTTATTTACCCTGAAGAAGCAGTTTACATCAAGTTACGAAACGCCAGAAATACTATTTTTCTATTCTTTGGGATATAACAAAAAATATATTCATCATAAACTTTCTACCCAGTGCTCAATTTATTTGGAACTATCAAGTCTAACCACAGCATTAATATCTATGTACCATCATGGTTAGGGAAAGGAGTCACTAAATCCAGAAACAGTACCACTCCTTCTCGCTTGGTAGATAATAAACATCATATCGAAATAGATAATGCTTTCCCGCTTTGTGTCAAGTTCCAAATAATCTACCTAAAGGAGCTAGATTACTACTCCTCTGCATAAATGAAGCCATCTGCATCAACTCCAGAACCTCACTTATGTATTCAGAAGAGGTACATGCAGCCTCTGTGTTTACCTTGGTTCACAATTGGATCACTAGATACCCAAATTGGACATTATGAACCCTTTAATCCCCTCCTCCCAATTCCTTTTGTGTTTTTTATCTTTCTGAATCTACATATTCCTCTTTTTCAATTCACATGAATTTTTTATCATAATTACCTTGCAACAACCCCATTATAATATATTATATTCACAAGCTATTATTGTTATTATTATCATTATTATAATTGCTATTATTATTACGTCGACTAATAAGACGAAATTCCCTTACTATGCATTTTATTGACACGATTTATTGTTATCATCATATTGATTATAACTTGACCCTTTACAATAAATTATTCTGACCTTTACTATATGACTATAAACAGAAATGGATGGTGGCTACCAGTGGATTCCAGGACGTTCGTTTAGTCTTATTCGGGACTCGCCAGCTGGATGTACCTACATCTCAGAGTTGATGTCCGCTTCAGGACTCGAACCCAGCACCGTTCGCTTCAAATGCCATCGCATTATCCATTTACTTACTCAATTCGGATAACCACTAGCTTATGCAATGGGGTGAAGTTTAGATTCACTTGGTATTGTTTGCTTGAGTCTTCCGAATGATGTTTAGGACTGCAATTGATGAGTCTCTTATTGGCATATGTACATCCAGCTGACGAGTCCCAAATAGGACGAAACGTGTGTCCTGGATTCCACTGTTAGCCACCATCCACCCTTGCTTATAATGCTTGTGACTTAAAGCAATATGGAGGCAATACACACAGTATGAACATATGAAAATAAGAGACTGATCAGTTGCAGTCCTAAACATCAATGGGAAGATTCAAGTAAACAATACTAAGTGAATTTATTAGATGACCTTCCCAATTTACAAATAGCACAATTTCGGGGTATATGTGTCGTAACAGATGCAAACGTTCACCATTTTAAACATATAACATTGTCGAATTCATTAATTCATATCTTATTTTGGCCTTTGTAATATATCACAATAATTATGGACTTATAACTGTAAAGCCTGATGATGAAGTTATTGAAAATAATTGTTCACCCTAGTATTCTTTGTTGTTAAGTAACTATTAGTTAACATTAAAGCATTGTGGAGAGATTTTTGAATAAACTTACCTAATTTGTACATATTTTTAGATGAAGTAGAATTTTCACGATGAACACACTTTGTTCTCCTGCTACTATTACTCCCATTGATTTGTCTACTAAGATTTGAGGTAGAGTGGGAGTTTTGATTTTTAAAATCCAATTTATTTACATGATCCTTTCTCGATTCATGCAATGAGTATTTAGAATTGATTAAATCACAGTGTTTTAATTTCTTCATATAGACATAATATTTTGGCTTGCTCTTTATGTATTAAATTTTAGATTCTAATGTACTTGAATATGAGTCGGAACTACAGCAGTTTCTAGAATTGCACTAAATAATAAAGTCAGAATAGCAAATAACCAGTATTGCTTGTCTTATTATAGTGGGATCGAAAAATTCGCTGTTGTGTATCTGAGATTAAATGGCAGTATCTGTGTTACTGTCAAGTGTCTGAAGATTTTCTTGTTCAACTAGATTAAAAACAGTTAAATAACAAAATTAAGATCACTTCAAATGTATGCAGGATTCTAATAAAAGATGAACGACAGGAAAAATGGAGAATTATATGAATCCATCAATCACTCAATAGATGATTAAATCGATTGCTAAATCGAGGGTTGGATCAGAGGAAGAATCTATTATCCACACAAATCATCAACCAACCAACCAAATATTTATATTTTCGGATTATGCCAATGAAAAACTTTTGATGTGCATAGTCCATATGACTGGTCCAAAAACCAGTTTTAGTTTGATACTTTTTTGTCTCTTCGAACTGACTTTGAATATTAGCTACATTTCATCTTATTCATGCTGCAAGTGCTTCGTAAACAAACAGCGGCATTTATATAACTGAATCGGTCCTTAATGCGTATACTGTGACATAAAGATCTGAATACGTAAATTCTCAGAGATCTTACGTAGACACTTTTCGTCTAATTAATTATCAACTACCAAAGAGAAATTCATATGAATTCGTTTTTCAGTGCAGTTAGGCAGTTTTACAATAAAGTGAAATACCTCTCTATAAATAACAAGTTTGCTTGGTCTGTCTTCGTTCATCAATCTTGAATTTTTAAAAATTGCTCAAAACTACTTACATAGCAATTGAGTAGCATCACATAACTTGAAAGTAGTTTTGGTAGCTGTAGACCCCTAGAGATACTCAACCCTCTTGAGAAAGAGGCCGCTGACCAGGCACCTTCAACAGGATCTATCCAGGACTCTCTTTTCAACTTTTGCCATGTTCTATTCATGCTTTTAATGTCCTTTGGTCTGCAACCTCTTCTGTTCCCCTAAGGATTCCAAGTTAGAGCTTGCTTTGCGCTGCAGTTGCTTGGTTTCCACGATGTATGTTTTATCTAATAATCCCCCAATAGCTTTTCCTAATTACTCTCTCAACTGCCAAATGGTTTACTTTCTGTCCGAATAGGTTATTGCGGATGGTCTCTGACCAATAGTTCTGGAGTATTTTTGGTAGACAGTTGTTTGTGAATACCTGTACCGTTTTGGTGATGGTGGTGGTGGTTCGCCAGGTTTCAGCTCCATACAATAGGACTTCGTCAGTGTTATTCTCAATAATTTTGAATTGATTTTGGTGCTGGTGTTGGTATTGAACGGATTCTTCTGAGCTCTAGAAACACTTTAACTACAGTTACTCTGCCATTGTATGGCCGATTTGTGACTTGACACCTCCATCAGATCCTCCTTGTTTATCAACGATGCTGCCCAGGTACGTGACGGCTTCTACCGCCTTGAGAGATACTACATCAATTGTGACTTGAATGGTGCTTTCTGTTTCGTACTTTATGACCTTGTTTTTTTCTTTGTGAATATTCAGACCTACTTCTGAAGAGGCTGCTGCTATACTACCTATCTTCCCCTTCATTTGATGTTGTATGTGGGATAGATGGACTGGGTCATCTGCAAAGTCCAAGTCGTCCATCTGCATCCAGGGTGTTCACTGTATTACATGTACCTCCTGAGATTTGTATGTCTTCATTGTCAAGTCAACAGCGAAAACTAACAGGAAAGGAGAGAGTGAGCAGCCTTGTCTCGCATCAGTCTTCACATTGAATGAATCTGTAAACTACACTCCATGCATGACTTTGCAATTTAGCCCCTGATGGGAGTCCCATAAGATGGTGGTGATCATCCTAGATACTTTGTAGTGTCGATTCCGCAAGATTTTTCTATGCATACTGTCGAATGATTCCTCATAATGAAGGAAGTTGATCTACAGAAATAAGTTTCATTGGATTAATGGTTCAACAATGATCCATGGCGTTTGGATTTCGTTGGCACGCGATCAACTTATATGAAGGCCGGCTTGCTAATCCCTAAGTTTGGAATCTACTGGATATTTCTCTTCCTTCAGCAACATTCCGTTGAAGAGTTTCTCCAGTACTGATAATAGTGAGGTCCCATTCTAGTTCCCACACTTAGTGAGATCTCTTCTTTTTAGTACTTTGTGAGGTCTGGTAGTATTTTTTGTTCTTCTGATACCCTTCTGAAGTGATGTGTAGCATCTCTGCAAATAATGGTCTGAAAAAAATCAGTATCGGTTGGACGATATTCAATGTCAAACTATTCTATGGCTGCTTGTTCAATTGTCCAATATTTTTCGAGCTTTAGTTTCAGTTTGGCAACCACCAACCAGGTGGTGATATAAATCTATATCAACTCCTCTCTTTAATCCCACTTCTTGGATGGACCTTTTGAGTTCTTAATTCATGCATATGTAATCAATCTGGTTTTCCGTAGTGTAGTCTGGTAAAACACATGTAGGTTCGTGCGTGTACTGATGGGATAAATACTGCCGCTTACAACTATGTTGTTGAAGGTGCATAGTTATATTGTTTTCTCACCACTCTCGTTTTTTTTTCTTTCAGTCCATATCTCTACATGAGGCGTTCATATTCTATGTTGTCCATCTCGACCTTGACGTTTACTTCTCCTATCAGGACGATCAATAAGTTGCAGCTCCATAGTGTAGAAATGTCGAGTTTTGAATTTCATAGCTCTATTATCACTCAATTTTCAGACCTCTGTCTTCAGTCACTAAATGTCGATCTTATACGTTCTTTTCACATAAAACGAACACCTAAAATTTTTGATTAAAGCATTGTTGACAGAGACCATGAATTCAGCTTTCAATTAGTACGGTGATGATTCATTAGTAACTGGGGGAGTGGTATGGATAATATGAGTTTAAACCAAATTTGTTCATTTTTGATGCAAAATCCTGGTGGGACATTATGATGGTATAACCTAGAAAGCAATATATCTAAAATCGAAATATATGTAAAAAATTTTACTTTTAAAATTTCCCTTTGGACGGAAGTTACAGTGATATCTATATGTTTTTTTATGTGACCAAGAGATTACCACATGGTAGATATTTTGTAATATCTAAGTGGTTTATCTATCACTATGGATAAACAATTAAATATAAGTGTGCGGATGTGAGACACTATTAGTCTAACCGGTCTTATTAATCTAATTTATGAATGGATTTATAAATGTTATATCCCGATAAGAATAATGAATGGTAATTTTTGGGATCCATTTATGGGCCAATACTATGAGTACATTTTTAACGTATGATTGTTAAATGACTGAACTATTCATATTCGTGTTCCTCTTATTATGAGCTTTATTTTGACTTATGAACTATTATTCTACGACTTACCATTCTTGAGTTATGCCCCGTCTATCACTTGCTATCTCCCTTATTCACGGCCACTTTTGGCTAAATCTTGTACAAATGTTGTTTCCTACTTTATGGTACGATGTGGCCTATCTGGTTGGCATATAAACCCAGTATGTTTGAAATAAATGATTCATATTGCAAAGGCTGAGATTGGTGTTCTGAACTTAACAGGTTGGGCTAGGCGGGAAGCAGGACCGATAAAGGACTGTAGGCTACTCGTACGTGTTTTATGCGTCATTGATCCGATCGATAATTCACTGTTCACTAATTGGCAGCGTCATTACTTTATACATTAACAGGGCATATAGACCACAAGTTATAACAAGTGGCGACTACAAGCTATAACAATAAATGAATTAGATACTAAAGATACTGAAAACGATTATGATTTACTTCTCTCGCTCTTTTTCCCCAATCCTAGTTAACTTATATTCTCAAAATGTCACAGCATCTGTTGTAGACATTATAGTATTAAATAATTTATGTGAGCGAATGCACGAATACATTTAGGTAAAAACAAAAATTCCTTAATTTATATGGAATGAATAACTCTCTATATAGTATGAACTGGATTCTTATATTGAAAGAATGAACTGTTTAAAGACATTTTTCAACAATAATTAACGTCAGCTGAGGAATTAGTGTAATTCAAGTAGAACTTGATATTACTTTGAGGAAAAACTTTGCGTCAGGTTACAATAAGAGTTGTTCTGAAAATATTCTGTGTAGTCATCTAGCTTGTAAATCTGATTTAAGCCGAAACAATTGTTTAAAAATTATCACTCCGAGGATGTCAAAGTGTTTTCTCTTTAAAGTGAAATTTTTTCAGCTTATTTCTTAGAACTGAAAGATAATAAAATATTATGTGACAATAGTTTGTAAATAAGACAGCTTACAATGTTTAGTAAATGTAGTTGCGTTTTTAGACAATAAGAATATATATATATATATACTTAGTTATTTGTTGGAAACTCGCAGCAATCATCGAGTGGCTGTTAAATCAATGGATAAATATTACACAATACAATATAGAAAATGTTTTGAATCTATCACAGTACTTTTTTTACTTAATACTTATTCGCTATTATTCTTTTATCTCATTTACTACACTGATACAGCAGTATAACTGGTCGAATCAAATGTTTGAAGTTATACTTATTTCAACTAATTAAGTGGTTAATAAACACAAAGTCATAACAAGAAATAATAAAGTATGTTTTCCTTTCACGTACCAAAAAGGAACTGTGCTCTCCCTAGTAACTGGTTTTTAAAAGAATCTCTCGATGTTTTTTTGAGAAAGTACGACTAATGATGATGATCACGTGATATGACGGATTAACTGAAATTGAGAAAGTATTCAGCTGACGAGTCCCAGAGAAGACGAGACATGCGTTTCCTTGACCACACTACGAGCCATAGTCCAAACATATCAAAGAATCTTTTGGTGTTTTATTATTTACACGGAAAATGTAATTAAACTGGATATCAGGATAAAAAGCGGAGAAAGTGTTTACAATATAAA